ACCACCCTTTTATTTGTTCAATTATGTGAACATTGCTTGCTTAAATGTATAAAAATGATTGTAAGCCTTTGTTTTCACAATTATAACCATTACTATTATTCATATGTTGTAAAGCGTTTTAGAGTAATTTTACAAATTACATGAGGCTCTATATAAATGTTGTACACTATTATTTATTATTATCGCATCATTAACTCGTGTTAAACCATTTTATCAAAAGAAAACATTTTGATAAACGGTTGTGAATAGTTTAATATCCTTATAATACGTTTTAATAATTATTTCGAATAATTTATTTTGAAAAGGTATTCGATATAAAAAGAAAACTTCAATTTGCTGTTTAGGATTTAAGGAGATCATATACGGGATTTAGGTTACAAACATGTTCTCTGGATTGTGCCAGTCAGTTTCGTTCCGTTGTACTTTAAAGGAACCCTTTAAAAAAGAGCTTGATCTTGTCCTCGAGGTCAGTTTCTGTTTTTATCAAAACGTGCGTACAACAACGTTTTAGACGGTTTCTGACTACATTGCGTAACACTTTAATGATAAACTAGATCTTTGTCCCTAGCTATTACATGTATCACAGCTTGCAGCAAAACTTGTCAACGTCCTTTAATAGTTTTTCTGCGTTGACTACCCAGTTTTCCGGATAAGCTTGTGATTTCAGCCGTTAGGTCTATGCGTTAACAGCAACGACCCACTGTGTTCCGGAAGGCGCAGGTTTGACTTCCGGCATTAATTGCTACTGTTTTCGTACCTCTAAATGTGATCATACAATTATTGCATATGGTTTATCTTGTGGCAGTCCTTGGTTAACTAATTATTTATCCATGTCAGATCAATTGTTTTAAAGTATGCAAGTGAGAAGATAATAGAAGAAGAAGTTGTAGAGCTTAATCATTTATCTTCTTTATAGTCGTTACCATGATTTGAATTATTATATTTGTCTACTGTGATAAACTGTCACAGCGTAGCGGAAGACACGTGTGGTGTAGGGACACGATTACCGTTTCCAGTACCTGGATTTTGAGCTCGTTTGTGTTGGTGTCTACAGGGTTCCTGTTGCCATTTCGTACCGTTTGAGTTCGTATTATTGCTGTATATTTTGAGCGTTACTTTTACCCATACATTAATAGCTCGTTGAAAATATAATGCATAATACAAACAACCCGTTTTTGCAGTGGCACTCTGCAATTCAATCCTAGACATTAAAAATACAGTTTTCCCTTTGTCTATATAGTCATTTTTTCCTGACATGTACATTATCTAAACAAATAGTTCCTACTATTTCTCCTTGTTTTCTCGTATCATAGTTTCCTGTCGGTTTGATTTCTGTTTATGCGCTGACGCAATTTTATATTTTCAATTTGACCTTCGGATTATATTTACCCATAGAATGTAGAGTACAACAAGATCAATCCTTTTCATCGTCACTGTACTCATGAATAAATATACACCTGACACCTTGCCGTTCTGTCATCGGACATTGGAAATACATTTATATCACTGTCTATGCAGTCAATTTCCCCTGACATGTACATTAGCTAAACAAATAATTCATAGACCTTCTGGTTGTTCTCTCGTCTCTGTGGAACAGTTTCGAACAACACATAAATACCATGGCGTTGATGGTTTTTGGGTTATGGGGCAATCTCTCTACACGTGAATTTAGCTCTTAGGATGTTGTTTTGATTTTATATCAACATGAGTATTTCCCAGGCGGGTCGGTATACAGCATCCAGTCAAAATGTTGTAAATAATTTAAAGTTGTCTCTTAAAGGGAAGAGTCGAGTTGGATACTTTATTCAAGTCAAACATAAAAGCAGATATGTTATGCCACAATGTCAGTTCCATTGGGACGATGTTATGCATGAGTAAAAGTAACTTATTTGCATCATCATTCCCATTCTCTATATCTTTACTAGCCCCGAGAAAATCAATTAATTATTCAAAGAACACTCCGACATATGCATGTCGACATTCCCTTACCGAGCCATAGGGATACGGCACGGTGACAACAGTCGCATCTGTGTCATTCTAGTTGTTTTCCGATACTTAGGAATTAAAAAGACGAAATCTTTACATATGAGATGGTATGAGCTTCAGTGCTTTACGAACATTCTTTCGAAAGTTCGCACAATAAACTTAATAAAATCGACTTTAACGACTTACGGAAGAAATGTATGGTATATAATGTAAAACGCCTATATCAACATAGGGCGTAGTGTAGAGTTCTAGAAAATGTATATCGTTGCATGGTTTTCCAGAACGATCCGAGTCGCTTAGAAGTGATGCTTTCTAATGTGCCAGAGGCAAGAAGGAACAATTTCACACAAACTGCAACCTATCTATCTATATAAATATGTTTCCCAAAATCACGCAACAATGTTATCAAGACATATGTTTCACAATGTTATTATTTACCAGATATTTTCAATCTTTGAAATCCCCCTCGGTGATCTCATCTGGTTTGTTTAGATCATCCAATTAATCAAAATAAAATATTTGCCCAACCATGAGGGATACTTCATTACAGTGAGAAATGCATTGGAGTCTAGTAAGGCGGTGTTTTCTTCAGACCGACTTCTCTAGCGTTATGTTATATATCTTAATTAGAAGGTGACACTCACATATATGCAATGGTAGGAATGATACATGTCTGCGAGTACACTGCAGGTATGAGGACATCGGAAATGAGAAATTGGCCTACTTGACATATATTTCAGAGCAAAATCGATCGGAAAGGTATCTTAAAGTGGGCAGAACTCTTCCATTGTGTTTCTCTGTATTTACGGGTGGGAATGTGATATGTCAGTGGGCTAACACTATGAAAGATATCACACGGTTCCACTGATGGGAATATCATCATCTCCTGTATCACCTGACATTAAATCTGTAACAAAGAAAGATTTAGGAATAGACATTTTTAGATAACGAAGTCTTACCAGGTTAAATGAATCATCAACAAAACTGTAAAAAAAAATCAATGTGTACTATGCAACAGTTGAAAAAATAAACGCGATTCGATTCCCTACGCATACTGTCAGAAAAATTGGATGGTACATGCTAAACAATGGATGTATAAATAAACGCCCATTCGATAGAATGCGTCAATACATGTGCACGGCTTGACAACGTAAACATGTACATTGCTTGATGTGATTAATGGCCATCAATATTCCTTTTTTTTTTGCTTTTATTGCTTGTAAACTACTATATTGTCTGCTTAAACGTGGAGTTAAAAGCTGGAGTGGTATATGGTAACGACTTGGGTGCGTTTAGGGACGGTCAGTCTGCCTTCAACCCGTACGTAATGTGGCACGCTGTGATGTATACAACTGACACTCTCCATAAAACATTGCTGTTTTGCTCTTGGTCTTTCTCTGCCGCAATACGTTGCTATTGCTCCGCTTGCAAGAACAGCAGTACATCATTTTCTAACGTTAGGCTAAATGATGTCTGGATTTGACTTGAATGTTTTCAATTCCGTTGAACGGCGGAACATTTTTCTTTTGCTCCCATGTTATAAGGAGCGATGACATATAGCTTGCATATTGGCCAATATTTATCGTCGGTTGTTTTTGGCAGCATGCGTATGACTGATCTATTTCCGCGAACATCGTCTGTAAGTTGTTATTTACATGACTGCTCCGTTTCATTGCTTTGACGTATTGTCATATTTTCATTTGTCCCGCGTTATTCCTTGCTTCTTTGGGAAACGCGTCTACTGGATAAAGAAGCAATCAGGAAATTACTTCTTATAGACGTCCCAGTGTAATTACCAATCTCAAAGCCTCGGGCATTAATTGTAGTCGGCATAACCTAGGTCTGACCCGCCTCGCCTTAGACATTGTGACGATCTGATGACGCGCGTGCTACCTGTTAAAACCTGCCATCTAGCGGACAGTAATCGCATTACGCAATGGCGAGATTGTGTCTGTCTGGTTTTGTGCTACATTGCCTCTCTATATCTAATAATATTCTGATTGCAATGACACACTATAGAAAGGCGCTCTATGCAGTCGGCCATTGAGATGCCTTTGTTCCATTCCAGTGGTACATATACTATCCCATCGTAGCCTGTTTATTTTCGTTTCGTTTTCATTTTCCTAATTTTGTATGCAACTATGACGCATATACTGACATACAAAATCAATCAATATCTAGTATATATACAATGTTTGCCATTCCTTAATTAGGACTTTTCCCTATAATATTCTAAAAAACATCTTTAGCGAAATGGTCATGCCAATAAAAACAAATAAACAAATAGGTATTTCACAATTTCATTTTGTTTTGGACATATTTTGTTGACGTAAAAAGCGCGTGTCCCTCTTATTTTCCCGTTGACAGTGTGACCAATTAACTCAAATTTCATACTTCAAACATTTTATTGTTGTACTTAGTGTAGGCTATTTCCTAGTTGATATATGAGAACAAACAAGGCTAACCTAACATAGTCATTGCTGCATGTCTTTCTTTGTGAATACATATCGACATTTTCCAAACACAATTATGCATAGCTAATGTGATTATTTTGATTCCAGTCTGTATTTCTTTGAATTAAGAACTTTTGCGATGCAGCAAATTGATTTTTTCTCTCCAAAATCTTCAATGGTAAATTAGACTAATTCAGGTGCGGCTAGGAGCGCATGCCTCGGGTTTAATTCGTCCACAAGGGACGGCTTTCTATTCGCTGTTAAAGCGGAGGAAATGCTTTAGCAATCTGTCACTATTCAGATTTCTACAAATCACTGGAAAGTGTACATTACAAGATTATCCTAGAATAGCCTGTATGTGGATTCTGTATAGCAAGTAGGCGTGAAATCGTCTACATTGTTATTTCTAGATCCGTTGCGTAAGTTGCTTTATTGAAGCAGGGATTTGTTACGCATTGCATTTATTCTTATGGTAATACCTAACCATACATTTACACGTATATGTTGTAATAGTTGATTAAATGTTCCTTTCATCTTACTTTCTATTTTTTTCTGTTGCAGACAAAGACGAATGAATATTGATTAGTAGGTAGAAAAACGACAAAAGACGCCTACTTTCGCTGACAGAATCTGAAGGCAGTTTCCTGGTACCGTGCATATATAGCATGCATCATGGAATCGGTGAGAGAATGGCTTATGCACAAATGTAAAATTAATTCGTTTGACCACTCGACATCTGGAAACGGAACAGACCTAAATAAACAACATTGTGGTGCTCTGACGCCAAACACAATTCCAGAATTTGTGATTCCTAAATCTGGTGATTCGTCCCGGAGGCAGAGTTCAGAATTAGAATCAATTGAGGAAGATGTACCATTCCGGGGTTTTTCTCCGAGAAATAGTATTGCTTCTTCCGGTAAGAATAGCCCAGGACATTCTCCATTGGGATCGAATATATGCCTTGATGTGCCTAAGCACACGATAGCTCGATCGGTTCCAGCATCCCCCAAGCACGAAGTTAGAAACATTGTTTGTCAGGGGAGTACGCATTCACTGACCTACAGTGACAATGCTGAAGACTACTCAAACACACATGTAGACCCTTTGTCATTTGACGCTATGTCATTACCCCACTTCCGGACAAAGACGTCAACATACGGGTTTACGACGCTCACTCAGTGTCCTCATACTCGGCGGAAGGAGTCTCTCTTTCATGCTGGAAGTGATTCCCTTATCCCGTACAAACGAACAAACTCGTTCGACGGACTACGGGTGCGCTACGATAAGGAGTGGCCGCCCTCTTATTACCTATCCGATTCAAAAGGATTAGCGTATGACAACAACAATACTCAGATGCCTGCCGTGATCGTCACTCCGTCTGCTGCTACACCGGAGATGGACGAGGAAACTCCCGTAACTCAACGATCGCTATCAGCAATGCACCTATCAAATTCGTTAGATGTTAACCATAGCTTGCCGTACTTTAAATCAAAACTGAAATACTATCGGCGACGGTCATCCTTACTCGACATTAACGATGACTCGGATGAATGTTCAGATTCCAGTACCGATGTAAAGCGTTTATCAATGTCGGCCCTTTACCCTTTTCCGAAAGAATCGCCTTCACTAAAACGACACTCCTCGCCCCAACTTCGGACTTCGAAAGAAAATTTTGAAATATCACCTCTTCCGAAACCTTCCATTGCATTCGGAGATGCCCAGTGTCAGTTTCTTGTACAATACGGGGAAATTAAATTCGCCTTTCAATATCTGGCAAAATCAAAACAATTAAAAGTGAGTATTTTAAGAGCCGAAAACTTAGGTGGACACGGAAAAAACGATAACAACATGAACGCCTATGTCAAGGTGTACCTAATGCCGGGAAAACTACAGAAACAGACTTCCGATATAATTAAGCACACCCGCTGTCCGATCTTTGAACAGGAGTTCTACTTCACCGGACTAACACTGGAACAGCTGCACGCGATGACTCTTCGGATAAAGTTGTTTCACAAGGGACATAACCTCCGGCTTCCTGAATTCGTCGGCAAGGTTGATGTCAACCTAGATAGCTACGACCTTCTGACCGAGAATCGGATGTGGAAGGACTTAGACATCAAACGAGACAAAGAGGTAAGCACAAAAGACTAAAAGGTAACATTCCCATTTAATATTGCATATTATTATTATTTCTTAATTCCCTCATACTGAAACTTAATGATGGTTCATCTGAAATATAATCCGCGTGTAGCACAGCGCGGATTCATACACACTCTTGATTTTGTTGGACTTATATTATACGGTTGCCGTTTACTGTTAACGGGTTTGCCGCTGAAAATATATCCTTTGTTAGTTCACATTCTTCCAATAGTTCTTTTAAACTGTTACCAGATGTACTTAAAAAACAATTGTGCGAACTGTAAGCTAATACAAAATCGAATAATGGAAGAATACATATTTCCTTTTCTGTAATAATGAAATTCTGTATTCAGTTTTATGGAACCCTTTGTACTATTTAAGAACGTCAAAAGAGTGCGGAATGATTTATTTAGGAGGAAGTAGATAAGATGCAATGCAACCTTACAACAGCCCTCAGTGATTCATTGTATTGACGCCCCCAAATATAGAACAAAGAAATCGGATTAACTATTAACCAAACAGATACCAACCAATATATCCATCGCGGCCTCAACACTCAAGGTCATACAGACGTGCTATCCCTGATACTTAAACGAGAAGGGTCGTCATCATTGTAAGTATATTGTCAGGGTCACACATCTGGAAGGACTGATGGAATTTTGCAGGCTAAAACAAATAACAAGAGTATAAGCAAATACCCCTGTGGAATAATAGATGGCGGACAAAACGTGGATAGGACAACATTATAACGCTCAAAGGAAAATGAAAATATCTAGTTGTTAGTTATTTAGTTATTATCAATTTACAACTTGTAAAACAAAACCGCTAGTAAAATTGTAAAACAAACAAACAAACAAAATATGGACTCGTTAATTATTCCATTTGACCAATTAATTGTATAAACACATAATCTGTGAATCAAATCCTTCAGTAAAACTGTAAAGAAGAAAAAGGAAAAGAAAATAAGGACTTATTAATTATTTCGTGTGTATCAACTTACCACCTAAAATCTAAATGTAAAATTGAAAGAAAACAAAGAAAACAGCGACAAACTTGTGTACCAAAGTCTAAATACGCATGTACCGAGAAAGTCAAGTAGGCAAAACACCTGAGTGTTCGCATTGTGGAACATGTGAGTAGGTAATAGAAAGAACATCATGCAATTTGGGTGAAAAGGAATTCAAGACGTATTCGAATATTACATATCATACCAAAACATGTCATTTGCGATTTCACCTGCCCGGGCTACTTGCCGGCGAATTTTACATTGGCGAAACCAGAAACACCCTTCACGCTAAAAGCCGTGTACATCAACAATATATCAATGTTCCACAATCTTATACCACCAAATCAAATTTCATTAAAGAGTAAACCCTGTTCTGCCCCGCTTCATGGCGTATAATGGGTCTTGAACAAATCTTATGAACTGCGACGTCAAGATTAAATGTTCATACAAATACAAAAAAACACCCAAGACGTATAGCGTCAACGTTATGACAATTCCTAAAATAGATCATGTAAGCAACTCTGGATATATTTGAATAATATTCGATTCCGAAAGTTTTGAATAACTTGCTTGGTCAAACATGCGCAAGCTTCTGATTCTAAATTTAAATTCATGATCAGAACATTAAGATACAATGTTATACGATCATTGCGACCAACGCCGCTGCCCACCATTGTCAAGATCACCGTCTTTCTTCATAGATATTTTACTAAGGATAGTCACGCGCTATGGAAGTAAATGTCTTAATCTTGTCATGTCAGCAAACATAACACTAATTACGTAGGGGCTTATGGGGATATTATACAAGTCTTGGTCAACATAACAAAAGTCTTTTGGGAACAAGGTAAACAAACATAAAGGGTAATTGTTATCTCGTTGGAACAACCAGCCATAATATAGACATACTGGTTCGTGTCTGTTCCACAACACTCTCTAATCATCTCAGGAATTTTTAAATAAGGAATGGATGTCAACGAATGTAAATGAACAAGAGTCATTATATTGTAAAAGTATTTTGTTTTGTTTGATTTTATTATGGTTGATTTGTTTTTTAATTAAGATGTTGACGATATTTCCCTCTTTGATCTTACGTGGACGTCATTCGGCTAGGATTACAAACGCGAGGTCCGGCGACGCGGTCTGGCTATGAGTTTTTCCTCGCTGAAGATTTCAGTAAATCCAAACATTTTCAGGCATGTTATATTTTGAAAGAGATAATCTACGTCTTTATCACTGTACTTTGTCCCCGACAAATTGCACAACAAAACGCTCTTTTTGTCCAGGTGATCTTTTCATAGGACATAAATTGGCGTTCTTATAAAGTATTGATTTAAAATATGCATCACAACGTGAAGCAATCTAGACAAAATAGAAAAGCACTGTACGGTTAACTCATCCAATAGGCTGTAAAATAATAGCAATTTTCGTATGATGGACAAAGCTGTCAACATTTCTTATAGCTCCTTAGTGCCCTAATTGTCATTAGTAGCTGTTTGTTGGATCCCTTCCGGTCGTCATTTCACTCAAATGACACCATGCTGATGAAACTCGCAGGAAAAATATTTATTGCAATATCGTAATTTTGTATTGCCGTAGACTTGATTGCTTCTCAAGTTCATTTACTGATGGAAAATAGACATCTTAACATGTAAACAGTGCCAAGTACATGTATTAAGAAAATAACAATCTACATCACAAACGTCTGATCAAACGTGTTTCCTTATACAAATATAGCAACTGCTCGTTGATGGATATGCTATATAAACACAATTTCAGTAACTTTTTAAAACCAGAAATGATGAATTTATTATAAAAAAAACCTCGATATACACATCCATACATTTCAATATTTACACTGTATACACTGTGTATATACTTTTCTGATCAATATTGCAGATATCAGTAGACACCATCTATGATACAATGCATGTACGCCCTGATTCTGAAGTTAGCACAGAGGGCAGCTGTACATTAAACATCATACATATCATACCTTGATATATATGTAGATTTTGTTTACAATATCCATGTTGTTTGTGTATATGATGTATTGGGTTTATATTAAGGTTATAAACAATTATCACCGCACAAAGATAACTGTGACGTTTACTTTTTTAATTGAATCAAATTCCAGGAACCAAGCTATTCAGTCAGTATTTCTTCAAAATATACATTTTCTCCCAAAGAAATGAAAACAATTAATTCGATTCTTTTTCGTTTCTTCTAAAACACTAATGGCAGTTATGTCAAAGACAAAGTAGAAGCAGCATATGTTGTTGGTAACATATATTCTACCTGTCAATGACGCAAATGTGCCTCCATTTGTACAGCGAGAGAGCTGTTGTAATTAATCAGGCTTTACATGAAATCGAAAACAACAACAGAAAACTAACATTAATCTGCTCTGGCTCATTGTCAATACTAAACGTACAAAGTATTAGAAATCGGAACATACTAACAGGTTTTTAATGTTCTGAAACCTGATCTCGGTTTAGATTCCCAGTCATGTCGGAACAAGTGGAAATGAGAAAGTCGGCTGAAGCAGCTTTTAATCTACAACCGGAAGATGTTAATTTGCCTTACTATGATTTTCAGTCTTCCATAGCAATTTTATTGAAATTGATTAGCAGGGCCAATGTTTTGTAGAAATAAAAACGAAATGTTCGGGATTCAACCTAGTTGTCCTCTCCCAACTGTTCCTATAATACAGTTGTCCTCTCACAACTGTTTCTACAATACAGTTGTCCTCTCACGACTGTTCCTACAATATAGTTGTCCTTTCACGACTGTTTCTACAATACAGTTGTCCTCTCACGACTGTTTCTACAATACAGTTGTCTTCTCACAACTGTTTCTACAATACAGTTGTTTTCTCGAGACTGTTTCTACAATACAGTTGTCCTCTCACGATTGTTTCTACAATACAGTTGTCCTCTCATGACTGTTTCTACTATACAGTTGTCCTCTCAAGACTGTTTCTAAATTACAGGTGTCCTCTCACGACTGTTTCTACAATACAGTTGTCCTCTCACGATTGTTTCTACAATACAGTTGTCCTCTCACGACTGTTCCTATAATACAGTTGTCCTCTTACAACTGTTTCTACAATACAGTTGTCCTTTCACGACTGTTCCTACAATATAGTTGTCCTTTCACGACTGTTTCTACAATACAGTTGTCCTCTCACGACTGTTTCTACAATACAGTTGTCTTCTCACAACTGTTTCTACAATTCAGTTGTTTTCTCGAGACTGTTTCTACAATACAGTTGTCCTCTCACGATTGTTGCTACAATACAGTTGTCCTCTCATGACTGTTTCTACTATACTGTTGTCCTCTCAAGACTGTTTCTAAATTACAGGTGTCCTCTCACGACTGTTTCTACAATACAGTTGTCGTCTCACGACTGTTTCTACAATACAGTTATCCCCTCGTGACTGTTTCTACAATACAGCTGTCCTCTCGCGACTGTTCCTACAATACAGTTGTCTTCTCACAACTGTTTCTACAATACAGTTGTCCTCTCACGATTGTTTCTACAATACAGTTGTCCTCTCATGACTGTTTCTACTATACAGTTGTCCTCTCAAGACTGTTTCTAAATACAGGTGTCCTCTCACGACTGTTTCTACAATACAGTTTTCCTCTCACGATTGTTTCTACAATACAGTTGTCCTCTCACGATTGTTTCTACAAGACAGTTGGCCTCTCACGACTGTTTCTACAGAACAGTTGTCCTCTCACGACTGTTTCTAAAATACAGTTGTCGTCTCGCGACTGTTTCTACAATACAGTTATCCTCTCGTGACTGTTTCTACAATACAGCTGTCCTCTCGCGACTGTTCCTACAATACAGTTGTCTTCTCACAACTGTTTCTACAATTCAGTTGTTTTCTCGAGACTGTTTCTACAATACAGTTGTCCTCTCGCGACTGTTTCTACAATACAGTTATCCTCTCGTGACTGTTTCTACAATACAGCTGTCCTCTCGCGACTGTTCCTACAATACAGTTGTCTTCTCACAACTGTTTCTACAATACAGTTGTCCTCTCACGATTGTTTCTACAATACAGTTGGCCTCTCACGACTGTTTCTACAATACAGTTGTCCTTTCACGACTGTTTCTAAAATACAATTGTCCTCTCACGACTGTTTCTACAATACAGTTGTCCTCTCACGACTGTTTCTACAATACAGTTGTCGTCTCGCGACTGTTTCTACAATACAGTTATCCTCTCGTGACTGTTTCTACAATACAGCTGTCCTCTCGCGACTGTTCCTACAATACAGCTGTCCTCTCGCGACTGTTCCTGCAATTCACACTCTTCCATTTTAATTTTAATTAGGAAGATCAGTTATAATGCTTTTCATGCAACAAACCTTTTAGTGGTAAACATTTTATAATTAAAATCATCAATTATAAACAATCAGGTAACACATTTATGATTTACATGTAACACATATGAAAAATGTGTAAATACATATACCGTGCCTTGATTTATGTTTATTAACATCCAATGGCCTTGTCATAAGATGTCATAACACTGTACAACCCATTCGTTTATGTTTTTGTCATCTTTAACCAATTCTTTAGTTTATTTTGGACATTTCCATTGAACATTTTCCCACAACAAGGTTTGACATCAAAAGACTTTAATTGTCGATAGTTTGTAAAAAACCCAATGGTGTATTGGTGTAATGATGTACATGGTGTATTGGTATTTTTGTCGTATTGAAATCGTAAAACGACACCATATTAACTTCCCATAGACACTCCAAGATTAAAATATTACAAAACCGTATTATAATATAGAAATGTTTTCTTCCGTTTGACACATTACATCAATCGATAGTGCTCCCTTTCATCAACAAGTTTCTACCGTAAAGAAGATGAAGAAGGGCTACTTTACTGTGTAGTTTGATTAATCTCGTGTTCTGCTGTTGTAGAGCAAATCCTGGCTTTAGTAAATACCACTTGGAACGTTGTCGTGCGAAAATGAAATTCCACCGAAGCGTTAAATTCCCACAATCGTTTCTGTTAGCGGTTCTATAACGAGCCCACATGATGAGCGAGGAGTTTGGAAAGGTCATTCGACGGCTAGATGAAATATACATTCAGTTATGGGAGACAATGCACTCGTCTATCCGACAGTCCTCAGATGAAGCGCTCTGCCCGGCGTCTCTGTATATCGTTAGGTGGATAGACATAAACACCATGGAAATGCAACAATCAGCGATATATGTACATAAAAGGTTGACAAAATAAGTGTAAACAATAATTTAGACGTATTCGTTTAAACTATGTGCATGTCGTTCTATCGTGATTGAGATGAACTACATATGTAGGCAATTAATGTTGAATTGTAATTAGCATTTTACATGCCATATTGATTCAGCCAATTTCCACCGCATGGCGTATTACAATGTGTATGAGGATAAGTGCTAGTTGTACAGGGGAAACTTATGAACATAAAAGATCACTAACGTGGCATTGATCAAAGCGTACACACGAAGATAAATACCTACTTGAGAAGCTAATTAATTCAACGTCACATCGAAAGGGCTTATAGTTCCACAATGCGTGCGGGGTTTGTTTGGAGATCGAAGTAGTCCTAGTAAATAGGTCAAATGATAACGATTGTCCAGAGCTAGGGACAGCACGATGGCTATAGAGAACAAGGACACGGACAGATAGCGATGTATTGAAATGTGGGTGGCATATCAATTTCAGTCTCTTCGATTTTCCTTAACGAAAGGTCGTCTAAGAAACCCTCTGATTACGATTGAATCCAACTTTAGCTGCCTTTTACAGATGCAGTTATCATCCAGAGTGAGACCGCAGGTCAGGTACCCTAAAGCCTGTGGGAGTCGCGTCAGATAGAAATACAAGCATAAACGAACCGCAGAAAAAAGACGAGTCAAGCATTTCATAATAAATACAGCTTCTTTATATAAAATCAAATCAAATGGTTTCTTGAGTAGTTAATGCTTCATAAGACGCTTAAGAATGTGCAGTCGATTATGAAATTGTGTGTTCGTGATATCATTTTGAAAAAAACATCCTCCTATACAGCCTTCATATTGATATAAAGACTTTATTTATTTTTGTGTCAAAGTCACGCGAACCTAGTTGATCTTGAACAGTTTACCGGACGCTGTTTCAGGGAAGACAGGCTCCCGCTCATTTTCAGGAATATTCAATATTTCATTACTGGAAACCTAGCAAGCATTATGGTTGTTTTGTTTTTATCAAGACGTTTTGAATTTTCCATTAATACAGGCAGTGAAATTCAATGACAATGTCTTGTTCCTGGTACAGTGTATTAGTTCAATCGATTTCCCTATGTCTTAACTGTATTCGTCGAGTAACAAGTAAAGTCTACACTTTCCAATTCAACATGACCAATCACAGCTTTACTTAGTTTTTGTAGAATGAGTTTAACGTCGTCATTTGTATATTTATATATATATATATTGTAGTTTAAAGGAAGGTATGATGAAGAAAGGAAAAGATATCTCGAACTTAAAATCGACAAAGCTAGGGCAAAATATTGACAAATTAACCATTTGCTCGACAATTCATGGACATGACAATACAATAAGATAAGAACAGGTGTCTCTTGCTTAATCGAAGACATCTTTCACGTAAAATAAGGTCAAATCAAAGCAATGTCACCTAATCAAAGTTGGGAAATGACAACGAAACAATAAAGTACATCCTTTAGTCTAATAAAAAACACACGCATTTACACCTTACTAGGCATTTACACCTTACTAGGCATCTAACCCTTACTTGTGCCCAGAGTACTCATCAACCTGAATCGATCGAAACACTATGTTGTTGTTTTGTCTGTCAGCAATCAACAAAATAAATACATTTCAGTAAACAAAACAGAAGCTTTTATAGCTTGTAGACTCTACTGGCGGATGTCTTAAAGGGAGGTTTGCCGTACACTTGATAGCAACAATTATGTCTTTTGAGTAGTGGAACGGTTCACAAAATACACCTGTTAAGAATTTCTTTTATCAATCTTTACATTTCTAATGTTCGAAATTCATATATTAACAGTCAAAAGCACCGTTAGTTCTGTTTCAATAGTTGTTTAGACCAATTTGAATTTCCACCGTTTTGGCCCCTGGTTTCATCGATAAGACCTAGAAGTACTACGGGTATAATGGTATTCATTTTGGCATGCTGTATTAATTACCGAAATGTATAGGTGTAATCGCATGTGTTTCTTTTACGTTAACCCTTCGCGACGTCCAATGTAGAGTTCAATGTTATCATTCATATCTCTCATGGAATATAAACCGGTACGTCGCTAGTCTTGACGCTGGTTCTCCAAATATCAGCATAACTATTTTACGATAAAGTATTCGTCTTACAAGAATTTTTATTTCATATGAGACCAAAGTCTAACTAATAAGGACCCTAGTGTTAGCGTCAAGAATACAAATGTGTGAGATAGTTGGTACCTGAATCAATAAGATGATGTCAAGCAATACAAAGAATCGATGTTACCTAACACGGAATATTTCTGGTATATTTCAGGATCTCGGAAGCATCGAGATTTGTCTGAAGTTCCAGTCCAACGACGGTTCGATCCAAGTGACAGTTGTACAAGTGAAAGGCCTCCCCCATCACCCAATCACAGGACACCCAGGTAAGGACCTCTGTTAACGGTTCAATCAGTCGGACTAGTATAAACGCCGAACAATTACTTACAATATTGTTTTCCATCGTGTAATATGATCTAGTTACATTGTTACTGGCGATGAATATACTAAGTTTTATCTAACTTGTGATGAATAGAGTAGGCTAATTAGCTAGCGAATTAAATCATTTTTTCTCACATCGAAAAAGCCCTTTTGCCAGCATGTAGAAATGAAGATGATTTATGATATGAACATGAAAACTATAATGTCCTTTGGGATAGAGTAAGGCCTGGTGACAAGTTTGAACTGTGATGAGAAAAATTCTTGCATTCATCCCTCAATTTCTAGTTTTTTTTTATTTCTTTTACGGAAACCAATTTTAAAGTAACGACCCAACCGGATTCGTGATATAAACAGGTGTATCGCTCTAATTTCTAAATCACATAAGAGACAAACTTAACAGATTTGCTAATCGAGTTATTGAAATCCGTTTCGTGTTTAGTTTTTGATACAGATTGTTTGCAAGTAATGGTTAATTATAAAATCTGATGCGTCCTTGATTTACTTCTTGTTTGTTTACCGGGTAAAACTATAGCAAATTTGTAATGTGTTCCCGACATCATAATTAAGCTTTAAGGCATGACTATACTACGAGAGTAACATCATAATACTCCGATGTATTTATTGTTATAACTTTGTTTCTGTTTCATTGTAAATTTTGCAATCAATATGAAAACAATAACACTGAGTGCCCCTAGTAAGTGTCTCGATAGATCCCTCCTGCTATTCCATTGAACCACTAGATATTGATATATCAGGTCTGGGAGAAAAAGTCATTTCGTTCCCTCTTATGGCCATTAGAACATCAATATGTATGATTTATTGCCAGATTGGTGGGTATCATTGCTGATATGTAATTAATTTTACATTAAATGTATTTTTTCAAACAATTTTCGAAATTGGTGTTTGGAAATAGAATTGATACCCAAGGGATCTATGTTGACATTTAACAACTAGTAAAACTGATCTTCTTTCATTTGTTCACGAGATTGCGACGTTTATAGTTTTGTTACTAAGCTAGTTTTTACATCTTTTTCGCAGGTTATCCTTTTGATAGTAATAGGCGCTATCATATTATGTCGGCATAAACGCTGCGAGATAACTTTTTTCTTGATCTTTTTTCTTTTAACAGTGACATTCAATGTACAAGTTTAATATAACGCCTATGATGCTGCTATCTTGAGAACAAAAATAAGTAAATGTGATCTAAATATTACTTATGCGTGTACATCTTGACATATACGATTCGGAACGTGAAACAAATTGCTATTTTAGACACATACTTAAAATATTATTTTATATACAAAAAACGCATGTGCGTATAAACATATCACATCATTTAAAGACCAACAGGTGTCTTTGACAAATCTTGACTAGAAATACGAAGTCAGGAAGCGCTTATCAAATAGTTTAGGAAACCGATACAGCAAACCAAACAATGAAAACACCATTGCTACATATGTACATCTTAAAGTCATCTCCTCCGTTTAAAGTCTTCAGAGGTAGTAACGGTAAAACAATGCCAAATCATGTACATCCTGGAAAATGAGCAGAAAATAACAGAATATGTTAAGTTCATATACAATCCTTTACAGTGCTATGCTATTATTTGTTTGTTGCAAATTATGTCTGAGTCGGTCTAAAAACATTGATACATTCAGATTTTCAAACTGAGGAATATGTAACAAGTAAATAGTATTGTGTATTGTGAGAACAAAATCGTAAGTCGACCTCGCAAAAGATAAAACCATGGAGAATAAAATCACCTTAAAACACTTGAAACTGTTCAAGGGAAATAAGACAACACACTCAGTGTTAATTTAGTTCAAATGGAAAAAACTGCTACTGTCTTATTGTTGAGAGTAGACATTGATGTTCATTCGACCATTTTGATTATTAATGGTTTCAATCAAAGTAGCTGCGGTTACCGTAACACATAGCATCATTTTTTTTATTTTTGAAATTTTACATATATGATATATATGGTCCGACATATTAAATTTCACAAAATAAATCGGACGCCTGAGTTACGGTTCCCGCAGTTACATTGTACATGCAAAGTGGAACCTAAATAATCTCGCTCGCTGAAGGTAATCCCCTCACATTCGATCTCAGTAGATAATCCAGCCATCTTCACAACTTGTAGATTTCTTGTAATCTACTCTTCTTAGCTCAATGTAGATGGCGTGACCTCCTTAGTTTATTGTACATGTAGATAATCTAGCCAACGTCGTTCTTCGTACAATATCCAGCAACTTTGTAGATATTTTAACAAATATCTCTTCTTGTGAATAATTCAGACATCTTCGCTCCTTGTAGATGGTGTTTGTACTTGCTAAGTACGAATTAATTACAGGGGATTTTTTTTAAATGCAGAAAATATATTTTATACCCAATTAATTGACTGAATGGTATACTGTATCAACAGGAGATGTGATGCTTTCTTTACTGAGGGTCAGCTTTATGTTATACAATTTTATATTTTGTTGTACTTTCCAGATCCTTACATACGTGTGGAACTCGTACAGCCTGGCCGTTCGGTATCTAGGAAGACGACCAAAACTAAGAAAAACACTGCAGATCCCGTTTTTAACGAGAGCTTTGTATTCAACATGTCCTTCAAAAGAGATGATTTGGCAGGAACTAAACTTACATTCTCAGTTTACGACCATGACCGTATAAGGAGTGATTACGTAATAGGACAGGTAAAATTTTGCGCAGACGCACTTCAAACTTCCGCCATGGAACACTGGATCGATGTGTTCAACAAGCCAGGGAAGGAGGTACAACGGTGCCATGAACTGCTAGATCACGAAGACGATTTTAAATAACCTATTGATGTTATTTACTATTCTATTCCCAACGAATCATTGGTGCAAAATTCAATCAGTTGTGGCATTTTACTGTACAATACCGATATATATTCTATCGGGATCGGAGTGAAGCCTTATGTACGATTCAGGAACGGTTGTGTGGTCGATTAAGGCCGTTATAGTTTTCATATGATGCAGGAATAGGCATTGTGGTGACATCGATGGAACAGATCTTTGAGTTTCTTAGATTGCTCGTATATCCCGGGACTTGTGTGTTGACAACGCCTTCGTTAAACGCATGGCAGGACAGATTTCGACTGGAATTGATGTAGCATTCAATTTTGGCTTGAATGGTCTGTTTAGTCTGGATTTGAAACTACAGAGAGCACACTCAATATGATAATGCAAATGCTTGTTCCATGATCTGTTTTAATTATGATCGGGTGATATTTATTAAATTATTGGATTTCTTTTTAGATTATTTTAATTCTATTGCTATTGTACTATATTGATCACATCGGAAAAATATATCAATGCACTTTTTCTTTTTTATCAAGATATTATTTTATTTGTAAAATCAATATGATATTATATACAATTACAGATAACAGTTGTACCAAACTTCACTAAAGTTAATTCATCGGAAATATTTGAATAAATGATATTTAAAAGCTTTATAAATCAAAACATAAACATGCATTTTGTTGGATACACAATTTAACAATTAGGTTTTAATTTTGATATATAAATTTAAATATTATAATATAATAAGTTTGTTGGAAAACAATGACCTGAACATTTGACATCACTTTTTGTCAAAAGCTATGAACGGTTGGCAGGGCATTCTTTAGAATTATCAAATATATAGAAATCGCTATTGTCGATGGTTTTTAAGCATTGAACTGTTTTTGTGTGGTATTTATGATCTATTTGAATGACACAGCTTTGCAAGCAAACACCATGATGCGAGCTGTGTTATTCAAATAGATCATAAATACCATACAAAAACAGTTCAATACTTATATTTACGTTTTCTCTGCCTCTTGTGTTCTTTTTTAACTTTTAATTTATATCTAAAATTCAAAATTCCCGCCTTATCGACAGTCCACACAAATTCGTTCAATAGTTGAAACAGCGTGTTGTCGCGTGCTGATTGGTAAATAAAGTAGTACCTTGAAATTTTAACAAACACTTCAATTTTATTCCACAATTCAGTATCAATACAATTGCGTATGCTGTGTCTATAGGGTGATTTAAGTTTATCAATATAACTCTGAGCTGAAAGTTAGATTTTAATTGTTTCGATTTTCCCCGTAACAAATTTCGCGCATGGAGGAATACAGTGAACACCGTAAATCGGACCTTGCCCTCCACGAGGGAGTTAATTTTCGAAGTTAATTCGAACTTTTCTCTTCGCTCATTTTGTGAAGAATCCAAAAGTGAATTTATTTGTTGATTGTATGGGAATCTGACTATAGTCGGTAGATTCTATAACAGCATCGTTATTTGACATGTCGTCCGAAACTGAGGAAACCGTGGCTGCAAGACCCGTGTAACTGATAGTGTTTGAAGCGAGTGATCTTGCGACGGAGCACAGGGGTTCGTTACAAATGTCTGAAATGTTTATGCGACTCATATCAGTAGGTCTGTAACATATATGTCAGTAGGTCTATAGGATATGTGTATTTCAGACATTTGTAACGAACCCCTGTTGATAAGTGCAGTGTAACAGACGATATTTCTGATAAATTGCATGAGTGTAAAATTGTTTCCATTGCCGGCATTGGTGATTTCAACCGATGTGCATTTTTTACGATATTGCAGACCTTGGTCTTGTTTTTGTTGTAATAAAATATGTTTTTTCTTTTTTCATTTGCCCATAAATTTACAATGACATTGTCAAGTCTCACAATGCCCAGCGATATTTCAGCAGCCGTCGTGTTTATTTACATTGGATTTTATAGTTCCGTGTGGTATTAATACGCTAAGAATTGTGTCTCGTGTTACATGGTTATCAAAGTCCCATCAACGACACAGGCTTCAAAGAGGCTATATAGTGACAATGTCATGCAAATGTAAATGTATTGTTTTATTGTTTGCGGAATAGTTTGTGTATTTTCTTTTAATATTTGTAAAACAACGTAACATTGTTACATCCCTTACCTGTCGATGTAAATCAAATTTGCGGAATGATTGTCGTCAAATTCGAAGGATACTTCTGTAATTAAACTGGTTGTTTATATAATTATTGTTTACAAAATATGATATAATGATACGACAGGCTCATTTGGACAGCAGTGTGGAAAGTAAGATGTTTATTGCATCATAACTATGTTGTCTAAGTGTCAATCACATGCGGGTGGCCCTGTCTATATTACCAGGAAAAGGCTATATATGTGTTACTGTTTGCCTTCAAAAATATACCGCATTTTGTTCATTTTTGTTTCATTAAAAAATAATTGTTCGACTTATTGATAGTTAAGACCTGTCGGAAAAAGATTTCCATTTCCCGGCATGCAAAAGAGGTTTTTTGGTACAAATAACAAAAATGTGGCCTTAATTGCACCGACCTTCAGGCAGTAACAGTAACCGTGGCACCAGACTTCACCGCGGTAAATTATATGCCATTTCTTAGTAAAACATGGGCCTACGTGCGTTTCCTCTACTACAACACTTTGTACACACGCTGGTCTGGCGTCAACGTCGACATTTGTTACAGAGTCGGTGTACATGATCCAGTTATTTCAGACACCATATATATCATAACTTGTAAGTGGGGACAACGTTGTCTCCCAGGTACTACAAGATATGACAAGGAGTCAGTATGAAAAATCGATAAATTCCGTACTTAGACACCGACCAATGATGGAAAGTTGTATGTATGCTGGTACCAGGAAAGCTTGTAAACTTCCTATTTTTGTGACTCTTAAATATTTGATACCTTTGCTATGACACAAGATTATTGTAACGTTGATGAGATACTGGTGTCGTGCTATTGTGGTTTCACGTCCCTCTCGGGTCTTAACACGACACTTTCTCCGCCTTGAATATGTGTTCACGGACAACAAATGTTTTGCTAATTCCATTAATTTTAACTTCATTAAATTACATTTTGACGTAGTTGCGACTTTGTATTTTATCTGCAATATTAATGATGTGCGTTAAAGCACTACAGAACGTGTGATATATGAGGTTAAAAGAAGACGATGTAACGTTTTCTTCATTTGGAGGAGAGAAAGATTTATAAAGTATTAAATAAAACTAAAAAAATAACGGAAATGATAGATCATGTCATTAGCAAAATTGCGAGTAAAAAGAAAAAAATAAAGGAATAGGAGAGAAAATGGGATAAAAATAGTAGACGATGTCAGTTGCCGGTGAAAAGGAGATAAATTATACAACACATCGGTTAATTGGAAGTGAAATAAACCACGCACCGGCGAAAAGCTAAGTGAAATTAATCCATCACAATCAAATATACCAATCGTTCCACATAATGGTATTGTTGCAATCTTTAGGTTCATGCACTTATCAAAAATATTAGTTGATGATGTTGGTAAAGTATCAGTTGAGTTCTCGACGTGAGGACGTTACATGACTTGGATTCGACTAAGACTTACATGGCGGGTGTAATCGATGAATCAGGGTCAAGGTCACTTACTATTCCGGAACACCTGGTCTTATTTTCCTTGTATTTTCAGTTCAAATTGTGGTATTGATGACACTCCGGTATTCTCTTGTTGTTTTTAATAAGAGTTGACATAGCGTGGTGTCATCCATAATCACATTTCAAACTACAAAGAAAACAGCGTCAATGTAAGAGACACAAAAACAAAAGTGAAAACTGCATAAATGTACACAATAATGAACCCAAGCCAAACCAGTTGATGCGAAAGGCTGACTGTTTCCGGCGCCTGTCATAATGTCACGTGTTTAATAAGGGGAGTATGTCGGTAACAATGAAAGGCAGTGAACACGCATGTATTATAACAGACGGTAAAGGGTCATAGTAAGTTCAGGTCATCATGTCATAAATACCATAACTTCAGTGTAAAATGACAGTCACTAAAAACTGATAGTGAGATCAATGACTTCATCGTAGAATAGGAAAGTGTAGTCTTATATCAAGGTCAGGGCCCTTGTTCATGAAACCGATCTCAAACTTAAACTCAGTTTCTGTGCCCTAACCAAATTCTTGTATCGATGAGAAATAAAAAATAAAATATATTTTGTCAAGATTTCAAAGAATTTTGGAGACTTCAACTGAATAACGGTTCAATGTCAAGATTTAAGCAAGTTTTATGAAAGTTGGTTTGAGTACAGAATCCTAGACAGGCCACCGTCTCTAGATTATTGAATTATTAAGAAAAAAGTTTAACTTAAATTATTTTGATCACCTGGATGTCTGATTCTAGAGTTCTAAACTAGGGGGAGATAAGCTAGTAGTAAAATGCAGCTGAGAAATTCTTCATAAAAACTTAGGGGATGGTAGCCAGTCTAACAGAATCCATGCGTCCCCATGAGAACGGTTTCATAAATACAGGCCCTGATCATGGAGATCTTCACGCTACTACTTTTGTGCAGAACGTACGACACTGTAGTTTTATAGGGAGATCAAGTCACGATGCACTGAATACTAATAAAATTCATATCGAGATATATCAGGTCACGTCGACGACATTACAGTTACGTCATTAAACCTTAAAATTTTATTTTATATTTTAAACCGAATTATATAGCATTTAATTCGTTCCTGTATGCACTTTCCGATACTGCTAGCTACATGTATATGTTTTTTTCTTTCAATGTTAAATTGGTCCGAAAATGAAACAGAAAATGACCGGTGTACAGATTAATTCATTATTTGAAACCTTTTATAACGGACTTATCATGATTTCCCATAGGCTAATCATTATTCGTCTAAACATGAAGCGTCATATATCTCAAATGACATTCCCATAACAAACTTGCTATTTGGCATCTCAGACCTTGACGTTAAGGATACGCACATGAGAGATATGTCAATTTATAAAACATTCATAAACACCAGATCTGAAGTAAACCAGAGACCAGATATCAGAAGTGTCGACACATACAGGTAGGTACAGTATCGGAACTCTACGTCGTTCACAAAGCAGGAATCTGAGTAGACGCCAAAATGGGAAAGACAAAACGGGAACTAAGCAGACTGAAAAACAAATATATAATGAGCTTAAATCAGGAAATCGGGAGGAGCGCTTGCCTTGCTGTCTTTGCCACCAACGATCAAACACGCTGTTATTTATATCTTTCTCATGTATATCACCTAGCAATTGAGACAACAACTGCGAAAATTCTGCAGTGTAGATTGAAAGCTGTCCGGTAGAAAACCCAGGTTATATAACTGATAGCTGTGATATTTATATTTGAAAAAAACGGAAGGGATTGAACTATTGCAA